GTTGGGGATGAGTGAGATAGGGAGGATTTGCACGTGGCCGGGTGGCCTTCTGAGCAGCTCGCAGGGCTGGGTACCCGGGAGGGGTGAGCTCGGGGCCTTCCCAAGGCTGACCCGGGGGTGAGGACTGCTTGGTCATCCTGGCAGGAAGTTCAGGCCAGGGCAGGCCTGAGCATCTGACAGCCCCTCCTAGGTGTGTCCCTGGGTAGCCATCAGCATCTGCTGAGTACCAACCCCAGGCCTGGGGTGGGGGGTGCTGGGTGAGGTCATGCAGTTCCTGTCCTCCGTCTCTGCCAAGTCAGCACTGGGAAGAATGCAGAGCTAGCAAGACGAATCTGTGCTCAAATACAGAGAGCGTGAAAGTTGCTCTTTTAGCCCTCTTTTTTGGGGGGAGGGTTTATTTTGTTGTTGTTGTTGGGCCTCATCCAGGGGTGCTCAGGGATTACTTCCTGGTGGGCTTGGGGTGCCAGGGATCGAACCCAGTCAGCCACATGTAATGCAAGCACCCTGCCTGCTGTCCTATCTCTCCCCCTCATCTAACTCATTTCTAAGCATACAATTCAGCAGAAGCACATCCATAATGCAAAGCCAGAAGAGCAGTTACCCATGGACTTGGAGTTCCCATCCTCCATCCCGCTGCCCACCCCCCTCCACGGCAGCCTGGGGTTGGTGCTCTGGATTTCTATGAATTCGCATCTTCTAGGTGCCTCAGATAAGCGGAATCCTACAGAAACTCACCTTTTGTCAATTTTGGATTCTAGCTGCTAGCGCTTAGCACCGTGTTTTCAGTGTTTGCCCACGTTGCAATGAATGTCAGAATCTTATTCCTTTGGAACAGCCGAAAACCTGTTCCTTCTGTGGACCCGCCAGCTGGTCCGTGGATGGAAATGTGCGTTGTCTCCATCTTCCGGCCAGCGTGAATACCCACAGACATCTCTGGCGTGGTATCTGTTAGAGTCTCTGTTCCCAGTTCCCTTGGGCACAAGTCAAGCAGAGGAGCCACTGAGTTGCATGGTATGTCTCTGATTGGCTCTCTGAGCCACCACCAAATTGTTATCCCCAAGCTCTGAAAGGCTTCACGCTGCCTCCCGCAGTGGATGAGGTTTCCCATTTCTCCAGCCCTAACCACCGCGTTTATTACTTTTTGGTTTGGTTTGTTAGCTACAGTGTCAGTGACAGAATTCTTTTGGTTTCCATTTCAGCTCCTTCACCAATGCTGGCGGCATCTTCCCCCAGCCTCTGGCCGTCTGTGTGTGTGTGTGTGTGTGTGTGTGTGTGTGTGTGTCCCCTTACACATTTGGTTGTGGTGTTTGCCAGGGACTGAACACATTGAGTTGTGGCACTTGTGTACATTCTGGCTGTCGGGCTCCCAGGGCTCATTGGGCCGGCGAGACACATGGGGGCAGGGGCTGGGGAGAGCTCAGGGCCCACACTCAGGGCCTGCGGGCAGCTTTAGGGTCTGGGCTCAAGGCCTCGTGCTCGCAGGGAGGGCACCTTTGCCACTGAGCCATCTCCTTGCCCTGAATGTCTCCCTTACCCTCCCTTCCTCCCCCTTCCTCCTTTCTCTCCTCCCTCCCTCCCTCCTTCTTTCCTTCCTCCCTCCCTCCCTGCCTCCCTTCCTTCCTTCCTTCCTTCCTTCCTTCCTTCCTTCCTTCCTTCCTTCCTTCCTTCCCTCTCTCTGTTTTTCTTTCTCCTTTTCTCTCTCTTTCTTTCTCTCTGTCTTTCTCTCTCTCCTTCCTTCCTTCCTTCCTTCCTTCCTTCCTTCCTTCCTTCCTTCCTTCCTTCCCTCTGTTTTTCTTTCTCCTTTTCTCTCTCTTTCTTTCTCTCTCTCTCCCTCCCTCCCTCCTTCCTTCTTTCTTTCTTTCTTTCTTTCTTTCTTTCTTTCTTTCTTTCTTTCTTTCTTTCTTCCCTTTTTTTCTGGCCATACACAGCTGTGGATAGGGATTACTCCTGGTTCTGCATTCAAGGGATCACCCCTGGTGAACTTGAAGATTATATGGGGATGCTTGGGAATTGAGTTGCTCTGACCTGAATGTCACATTTCAAGGACAATTTATCCAAGCCCCCCATCCCCCACTGCTCCTGCATGGAGGGGAAGTGCTCGTGGGGGTCTCTCCTTCAGTGATGGGGCTTGCACATGTCCTGACCACGGGGCTCACTCCGCTTTGGTCGTGGAGCGCACACTGACCTGGCTAAGAAACCACAGTGGACAGGGCTGGCAGCATGCAGGGTTGTAGGTGGCAGCCCCAGAGGCAGCCCTGGGTCTTGGCTTGTGGTTCTGGTTCTCTGAGCCACTGCACCACCCTCTGGACACCAGCACTCATGTTTTGAAGGGGAGCACACCCAGCAGTGTTCCGGGCTCACTCCCGATGGTGGTCAGGACCATTTGTGGTGTGGGGGGTCGAACCAGGGTCTTATGCATGCAGGGAAGTGCCGTTACCCCTGTACCATCTTCCAGAGTCCCAGACCCTGTCTTTTTTTTTTCCTGAGTTCCTTTGTTTTCTGTTGTTGTTTTGTAGTTCTCAATTCTCTACCCCCCTGTACTATCTCTGGTCCCAGGCCCTATCGATTCTGGATACGAGTTCCTTTCTAAGTAACATCGTTGGCAAACATTATCTCCAGTCTTGTGGGATTATTGACAAACTTTATCTCCAGTCCTGTGGGATGTCTTCTTCCTCTCTCAACAAAATCCTTTATTGGGGGCTGAAGGGAGAGTGTACGCGTGGTGGTGCTTGGGGCTCACTCCTAGCAGTGCACAGGAGACCTCATGGTGCTGGGGATTGAACCTGGGCCAGTGACGTGCCACGCCTGGGTTCGGCCGGCTGAGCTAGGGATGAGATGGCTCTCCAGACCCTCAAGAGGATTCTTTGGTGCACGAACATTTTAATTGCACGAAGTGTCCAATTTCTCACCTTTTTCTTTTGTGGCTTGTGCTTGTGATGCCATATGGAAGAATTTAGGACTGGAGGGGCTGGAGCGGTAGCTCAGCGGGGAGGGCGTTTGCCTTGCATGTTGCTGACCCAGGTTTGATTCCCAGCTTCCCGTATGGTCCCCTGAGCACCGCCAGGAGTGATTCCTGAGTACAGTGCCAGGAGTAACCCCTGTGCATCACCAGGTGTGACCCAAAAAGCAAAAAAATAATAATAAAAAAATTCAGGACTGGAGAGATGGTACAGTGGGTAAACCCTTTTTCACACAGCCAGTCCCTGGCACCATGTATGGTGCCCCGAGCCCCACCAGGCTTACAGAGCCAGGAGTAAACCCACTGGGTAGGGCCCCCAAACCAACAGCAGCAGCAGCAACAACAACAAAAAAAACCCATTCAAAGGCTTTAGAGATAATACAAACTATAAGATACTTGCCTTGCATGAGGCTGCCTTGGGTGTGACCTGGGTTCAACTCCCAGCACCCCATATGGTTCTCCAAGTACCACCAGAAGTGACCCCTGAGCACAGAACTAGGAGTAAACCCTGAGCACCACTGGGCGTGGCCCCCAAACCAACACGAATTCAATGAGAATTGAGTTTTGGAGAGTTTTCACTTAGGCTTGCCCCTAAGAGGTTTCTCATTGTTGCACTGGGGGGACTCCCCAGTGCGATTCCGGGGGCCCCTTCTGACTACTCTTGGACAAGCAGGCCAGTAGCTCAAAGCTAGAACCCAAGAACGTGGCACTGCTCAGGGCCTGATTGGGGGGGGTCATGGGGGTGCACTTCATGCTGCAGGGGGGTGCCTCCACGGCTCCCACCTGCCATTGGGGGACCATGTGGTGCCATGTGTGGGATCAAACTAGAGTGGGCCATGTGCACAGCAAGCACTGTGACCCCTGGACATTTGTTATTTGTTGTCTTGATTTGGGGTCACTTGTAGGCTGCCTCCTACACACAAAGCTGTGAGCATCTCCCTGGCCCATGGTCCACATGTGTGTGTGTGTGCGTGTGTGTGTTGGGGGGTGGGAGCACTCCCATCAGTGGTCAGGGCTTACTCCCGTCTCTGCCCTCAGGGATCACTCTTGGCGGGGCTTGTGGGACCCTCTGGGGTGCCAGGTGGAAGGCACATGCCCTGCCTGCTGTACTACCCCTGGGCCCACCTTCTGGTGCTCGTATCAGATGGGGACTCATGGGGAGCAGGGGAGGAGCACAGGCTGGGTGGGAGGAAGAGAGATGAGAACACTTTTCAGGCCCATGTCTCATGGGTGCTGGGGGTTATGGGAGGTTTCAGAGCAAGAAAGTGACAAGCATTGAGGTTTTTTTCTTCCGTTGTTTTGTTTGGGGGCCACATTTGACGATGCTCAGGGCTTACTCCAGGCAGACTCAAGGCACCATCTGGGGTGCTGGGTATCGATCTGAGTTGATTGTGTCTAAAGTGAGTGTCCTAGCCTCTGTACTATCTCCAGCCCCTTAAAGATTTTTTGAAAGTTTGGGGGCTGGAGCTATAGCACACCAGTAGGGCATTTGCCTTGTACGCAGCCGACCCGGGTTCGATTCCCAACATCCCATATGGTCCTCTGAGCACCACCAGGAGTAATTCCTGAGTGCAGAGCCAGGAGTAACACCTGTGCATTGCCAGGTGTGACCCAAAAAGAAAAAAAAAGATTTTTTGAAAGTTTATTTAGGGGGCCTCCCAGGGGCCTCCCAACATCCCGGTGGTATGTTCACCAAGCGGCAGGAGAACATGGGAGCCAGAGGAAGAGATGTGGGGGGGATCAGCTGCCCCCCCCCAGCGGATGCCCACACCAGGAGCTGCAGGGTGGGACCCCCGCCCCCTGCCCCACCACTCTCCCCTCCTGGTGAACAGGCAGCCCAGTAACGTGCCCTGTGGCCTAGTCATGCTGGGGCGGGGCGGGGGGGGGGGGCTTCCAGGGTGCCAGTTCCTGCTCACTGGGGTGCAGCGGAAGTGGGGGAAAGGGAGAGGCAGCTGTGGGTGGGCGGAGCCGGCAGGCGGGGCTGGGCAGGCTGGGGTTGCCTTCTGAGAAGTACCCCCTGGAAGAGCACTTCTGGGTGCAGCTGGGGTGGACGTGGGTGTCCTGCTGGCGGTGACTCCGGGGCTCCGTGTCCTTGCTCACGGCTCGACTTGGCAGACTCGGAGGGTGAGCTGTCCCGAGCTCCCCAGAAGGCCACAGTGGGACTTCGTACCCCTCCTCTGGGCCCAGGACCTGTGCCAGAGCCAGCCATGTACATCCTCGTCCAGCTTGTGCTCCTGGCCGCCTCCGTTTCTCTGGGTGAGCTGAGTGGCCTTGCACTCTGACCCTCGGCTGGCCTGGCCTGACTGCCCGCAGGGGAGGCTCCTGGGGCCCAGGGGGTGCTGTCCGGGGAGCGGGGGAGCTGGGACTAGGTGGGGGAGCTTGTGTTGAGCCTGGCCGTCTCCCCACCCCCACCCCTGTGCAGGTCTGGGCTCCTGGGGTGTGTCCAGCCCCAAGACAGTGGCGGGCGTCCAGGGCTCCTGCCTCCTCATCCCTTGCGTCTTCTCCTTCCCTGACAACGTGCCCGTGACTGATGGCATCACGGTTATCTGGTACTACGACCTGGCGAGCCGTCGGCAGGTGGTAACCCACTCGGCACAGCCTGAGCTGGTGGAGGCCCGATTCCGCCAACGGGCGCTGCTGGTGGGGCAGGTGCAGCACCGGACATGCAACCTGCTGCTCCAGCAACTGCAGCCCGAGGACGCGGGCACCTACAACTTCCGCTTCGAGATCAGCGAAGGCAACCGCTGGTCGGACGTCAGAGGCACCACGGTGACCATCACAGGTAGCGGGCTCCGGCCCTGTCCCTAGCCCAGTGGGGGGACAGCAGAAAGCACTGCTGCTTGAGGACCAGAGCGATAGTCCAGCGGGGAGAGCATTTGCCTTGCACGGGCCATCCTGGGTTCAATCCCCAGGATCCCGTCTGGTCCCCTGAGCACCGACAGGAGTGATTCCTGAATACAGAGCCAGGAGTGACCCCTGAGCATCGCTGGGTGTGGCCCCAACCCCCCAAATAGATAAAATTTATTTATTTTTTTAAAAAAGAAATACCAGGGACAGAGCAATAGTGCAGTGGGTAGGGTGTTTGCCTTGCATGCTGTTGAGCCGGGTTCAATCCCTGGCATCCCATATGGTCTCCTGAGCACTGCCAGGAGTGATTCCCAAGTCCAGAGCCAGGAACAATTCCTGTGCATCACTGGGTGTGACCCAAAAAGCTAAAACGAAACAAAAAACCAAATATCTCTGTCACCCCCTGTTCGCCCCACCCTGGCCGGGGTTCTCAGGCACGGGGCTCGCAAGGGAGGGGGGGACGCTGTGGCATCTCCCCAGTGCACCTGTTCCTGCCCTCAGCGACGCCCCTGGCACCCACCATGATGTCACCAGCGAAGCTTCTGGAAGGCACCGAGGTGGACTTCAACTGCTCCACCCCCTATGCCTGCTTCAAGGAGCCCGCGCGTCTGCAGTGGAAAGGCCAGGACCGCACACACTCTGTCACCTTGGACTACCATAGGATCGAGCCCACGGGCGTCAGCTACACACAGACACTCCACATGCCTCTGTCCTGGCAGGACCACGGCCGGATGCTGAGCTGCCAGCTCTCGCTGGGAAAGCACCAGAGCCAGGCCCAGCTCCACCTCCAAGTGCAGTGTGAGTGACACGGGGCCGCTCTCAGCTGCTCCCAGCTCGGCGGGAGCCCATGTCCTCCCCGTCCCCTGCCCCAAGACAGCCAGGCTGGACAGAGACGGCCCTCAGAACCCCCATACTTCAGCTCTCTCCCCTCTCCTGCTGGGTTCTCCCAGCCTGGGCTGAGACGCAGACACGAAGCTCCGGAACTCGGGGACAGAGAGCCCCGGCTTTGGCTCCACTCTGGAGGGTGCAGGAGGGGCAGCTCACTCCTCTCGTGTTTTCAGGGTCTCCCCAGAATCAGGTCATCACTGGGGGATGACCAAGAGGCAGAGTCCACGGGCCCAGGACTCCACTACTTTCCCATCACAGGGGAACACAGTGGTATATTCTAGAACAGGGGTGGGGAATGTTCTAGAACAGGAGTGAGGAACGTTCTAGAAAGGGGTTGGGAATGTTCTAGGACATGGATGGGGAATGTTTTCTAGAAAGGGGCAGGGAATGTTCTGGAACGGAGTGGGGGCGTTCTAGAAAGGGGTGGGGGGTGATCTAGAACAGGGGCGAGGGATGTTCTAGAAAAGGGTTGGCAATGTTCTAGGGAATGGATGGGAAATGTTCTAGAAAGGGGTGGGAAAAATAGAAAAGGGTGGGGAATGTTCTGGAACAGGGGTGGGGAATGTTCTAGAACAGGGGTGGGAGACGTTTTAGAAAGGGGTGGGGAATGTTCTAGAACAGGGTGCAGGGTGTTCTAGAACAGGAGTGCGGAATGTCCTAGGCTGAGTAAGATCTGAGAAGTAGCAGGGTCTCGTTCACACAGGACAGACACAGAAACTTGAGCCTGTCTGCCTGTGTCGTAGGCCCCGTGAGGGAAGTTTCAACTATCCAAAGGGCCCTGGGTGGAAGAGGGCTTCCAGCCCACACCAGGCACAGACCTGCCCCACCAGCTGTCCTCACTCTGTCCTTGCCGTCGTGGGCCTCTGTTTCCTCATCTGTCCAGTGGGCATACCGATCAAGAGCCCCCTGTCCCGAATAGGGCCAAGGGTGGAGGAGCACAGGGATCAAACGCCTCAGCATCGGCACGTGCAGATGAGCCTAAATTACGCACTGGGGTTCTGGTTCTTTGGTTTGTTTCTTCGTCCCAGCGGTGCTCAGGGCTCACTCCCTGTGGGGCTCGGGGACCGTGTCAGATGCTGGGGATGGAGCCCAGGCTGGCCGTGTGTAGGGCAAGTGCCCTCCCCGCTGTGCCTTCCCTCCGTCCCCTAAAATAAGCACGTGGAAGTGTGCGTTTTCAGTAGCACGATCTCGGGGGGACATGGGGGGCTCATAGAGGACAGCATCCGAGGCACTTCCTGTCAGGTGGGATGACAACTGTCCCTCGGGCCACCACAGCAGGCTGGGTCCCCGAATCCAGCTGCATGCTTGGTGGTCCTCACAACAAGATGGTCCTCAGGGGAACTGGCAGATGGATGACCAGAAGGTCGCCTGGGTGCGCACGGCCCTCCTGTCCCCTGGGACCCCCATGCCAGCACCCCTTCTCCTGCCTTGCAGATGCCCCCAGGGGTGTGTCTGTCCTCCTCCAACCCTCCAAGCAGAACATCCGCCCTGGGGAGCTGGTCACCCTCACCTGCCGCGTGAACAGTAGCTACCCCGAGGTCCACTCCGCGCAGTGGGTCAAGGATGGCCAGTTGCTCCGGACGGAGGGCCGGGTGCTGCAACTGCCTCGGGTAGCCTGGAATGACTCTGGGGTCTACACCTGCCGCGCGGGGAACACCGTGGGCTCCTCCACCTCGGCCCCCGTCAGCCTCCATGTCTTCAGTGAGTCCCTGGGTGTGGGCAGGGTCAGGGGTCTTGCCCAGAGAGCCGGGAGAAGTCCAGGCTCAGGGGCACTTGCCGCCTCCCAGGGCAAGGGTCAGGCATGTGCCAGCCCTTCCCTGGGAGAGAGAGGGGCGATCGGCGGTCCCAGGAGCAGGATGGAGGGAGGCCGGGCCAGTTCCAACCCGGCTGCAGAAGGAGCGTGAGGGGGACGGTGCAGGCTGAAGCAGCAGGACAGCAGCCCCGGGACGTGAGGGCGGGGGCAGGGGAGCGACGGGATCCCCCCCCCCCCAGAGTGTCCTCTGGTCCCCTGCAGTGGCTGAGGTCCAGGTGAGCCCCACGGGCACCATCGTGGAGAACCAGACAGTGACTCTGACCTGTGCCATGCCCAGAGAGGCGGCTAAGGGGACGCGCTACAGCTGGTACAAGAACCAGCAGCTCCTGAAGGGTGCCCAGGATGCCAGCCTTCGACTGCACCCCGTCCGCAGGGCTGACTCCGGCTTCTACTTCTGCGAGGTGCAGAATGCCCATGGCCGGGAGCGCTCTGGGCCCGTCAGCGTGGTGGTCCGGTGTAAGTGGCTCGGGCGGGGGGGAGGGCACTGGGCACCGTGAGGAATGGGTTGTTGGGGAGGCAGCCCCCACAAACAGGATGTATGGCCTGGGGCACCTGACCCAGGTCTGTTCAGAGGGGCCAAAATGTTGACCTCCCTGGGCCTCAGTTGCCCCCATCTGAGAAAAAACCCACTTGCTTTTTTTTTTTTTGGAAGGAAAAAATTTCATCCAGCCTTTCTTGGCAATGAAAATTTCTTAAAAGACAAAAAGATATTGGCCTAGTTACAATTCAGATACTTCATTCCCTGTAATGTTCAAGTGAAAATGAGACAAAGCAGCCCAGTTACAAAGTTTAAGCTTCTAAGAGAATTATCCAATCATTCTAGTAAAATGTTAGTAAGGAAGCCTCGAGGTAACGAGGTAACAAAGTACCCACACTGTGTTCCTGCACACTGCCAGAGACCCATCAAGCCAATCGGCAACATCCAACGTGACCAGAGCAGCCCCTTCCCCCGCAAGTCATTCTCCCCTGTGCGGCCAACCGCAGAAACAAGACTTGATGTTTTATTACTCAGAGATGGTTTAACAAGGTTATGTCCAAGAAGCTCCCTACCAGTGACAACAGAAACATACAAAGAGGGAAAATCCACTTGCTTTAAAATCAGTTTGAATGTGCAGGAAGTTGCAAGGAGGCCATAGTGAACGTGGGGTGAGGTGAGGGCATGGGGACCCACTCGCAGGACCAGTCCCGGTGGGCTCGCGGGACCACCTGGGGTGTTGGGAGCTAAACTCGGGTGGGCCACATGCAGGGCTATTGCCCTCCCTGCTGTACTGCAGTGCCAGGCCCTCTATGGTCATCATCAGATCTCCTCAGATTCCCCGTTTCCTGTTTCCGAACATTTGCTTTCTCTCTCGTGTGTTTTAGGGTCTCTCTTAGCGGAGATCTGGGGACTGTGTAGTGGTAGGGATCAAATCTGCAAAGCATGTGCTCACTTCTGCTGAGCTCTCTCTCTCTCTCTCTCTCTCTCTCTCTCTCTCTGGTCCCCCCCCTCTCTCTTTGGGGTGGGCACACCCAGCAGTGCTCAGGGGTTGCTCCTGGCTCTAAACTCAGAAATCACTCCTGGCGATGCTCAGGGGACCCTATGGAATACCTGGGATCGAACCTGGGTCAGCTGTGTGCAAGGCCAGCGCTTTGCCCACTGCATGTCTCTTCGGCCCTTGCCCCCCTCTCCATTTCTGTAAACACACATAGGTATGCGTGCCTCTGTGTGCACGGTCCTGGGCAAGCAGACACAAGTACCCCCCACAACACACGCATCTGTGTTCCCTGCCTGTCTCCTCCTCGGCATCCCACAGCTTCAGACTGGCCCCGAGTCCCTCTCCCTCTGCTCAGATTCCACACTAACCACAGCTCAGCGGCACGGCCAGCGCCCACAGTGGCCAGACGGGACCCTCTGCTCCAGCCGAACTTAACCAGGCAGCCCGTAAGGGCCTTCCTGATGCCGAGTCTCTTCTGAGCTGGGATCCCACGGAACATCCAGGCCCTGGCTCCCTTGACCTGGGACAATCCCTTGGTTTCCCTGGTCTGACACTGAAGCATGGAGAGCCAGGATTTCTGTGGGTGCCCCCCCCCCCACCTCGAGCCTGTGTGTCTGAGTGGGAGCCCCACAACGAGGTGGTGACCTCTGTCCCTGTTGCTGCAGGAGGTCAGCCTGGCCCACAGCCCTGGGATTCTCTGGGATCACTTAGCGGGGGGCCCTGGTTGCTGCCTTGCCTGTCTGGGTAACCGTAGGGCTGACCAAGGGATCTGCCCGGCCCAAACACAAAAGCGTCTTCTGCACTTGGGAGTTTCTGGGGCTGTCCCCGTGTCAGAGCATGGTAGGATCGAAAAGGGGACCGGGGCAATGGGACAGCAGGTAGGAGCTTGCCTTGCTCATGGCCGACCTGGGTTGGATCCCCAGAGCCAGCCCTGAGCATCGCCAGGTGTGGCCCCCAAATGAAACAAAACAAAATGTAAGACAAAAAGGGCTCAGGGGACCCCGGTGATCAGGAGGGACCCGGGATGTGTCCCTGTCCTTAGGTGACAGCCCCTTATCTCCCTACAGACCCGCCCCTTGCCCCTGTTCTGACGGCCTTTCTGGAGACGCAGGGGGCACTGGTGGGCCTCATCCACTGCTCCGTGGCCAGCGAGCCCCCGGCCAGGCTGGAGCTGTCCCGGAAGGGCGTGGTGCTGGCCACCTCCGAGACGAATGAGCTGAACCCACGCCTCAGTGTCTCCTCGGAGACCAACTCCCTGCGTGTGGAGATCCGGGACCTGCAGCCCGCGGATAGCGGGCAGTACCGCTGTGTGGCCATCAATGCCCTGGGGAACGCCTCCTCCACGCTGGACTTCCAAGGCATGGGTAAGATGGCCCTGGCCAGCCCCGGGACGGAGCCTACCCGGCTCCCACCTTCTTGGCCTCTTCTGAGGAGCAGGGGAGGGAGGATGTCAGCACGCGGCTGAGCCACTGGCCAGTAACAGTCACTCAGTGCTGGACTCACAGCCGTCCCTGCTGGGGTCTTCCTTTCACAGGGGGTGAAAGGAAGTCACAGGGGGTCACCTTTCCCGGAGACAGGTTGTGACACAGTCCTTCCACACATCCTGCTCCAAGCGATAGCACAGGGGCCTTGCACGCGGCCGACCCGGGTTCTGTCCCCGGCACCTCATAAGGTCCCCTGAGCATCTACCAAGAATGATCCCAGAGCACAGAGCCAGGAGTAACCCCTGAGCATCACCGGGTATGGCCCCAAAACAAAACAAGGCACACAGTCTGACTCTCCCTCTGCCACGGATCTAGTAACTGAGGGTAGGTGCTAGGGCAGACGCAGGCAGAGAAGTGGGGTGCGCTCTACCTCCCCCCCCCCCAGCTTGACACAGCTTTGCTCCCTCTCCCCATTCCAAACCCACCTTAGGCAGAGCTGATCTACCAGTTGGAATTTTTTTCGAGGCGGGGGAGGGTGGGCAGCGTGGGCCAGTGCTTCCCAAGGGGTTCTCAGGGGACCCGGGGCCCCTTCCTGAGGCTCTGGGCTACCCAGACCAGTGGCGTAGTACAAGGGTCAGAGGGCACAGTGCTGCTCATGCCAGTGGTTCTGAGGGTCATTTGGAGTGCTTGAGGGTCTCCCGGGCTGCATCTGGTAATGCATGGTCGGATGCAGGTGCCCTGACTGCTGAGCTATCCCTCTAGCACCTCTGCAAGGAGTCCCAGATACTTGACCCAAACCTGAGCTCTGGCTCAGAATCTTCTTTTTTTTTTCTGCTTTTTGGGTCACACCTGGTGATGCTCAGGGGTTACTCCTGGCTCTGCACCCAGGAATCACTCCTGGCAGTGCTCAGAGGACCATATGGGATGCTGGGGATCGAACCCGGGGCGACTCCTGCAAGGTCAGAGTCACCGCCTGCCCTTCACCACTCTGCAGCCCGGGCTGATCGAGGCAGGCAGGACCCCCTGGCGGGACAGGAGAGAAGAGGCTGAAGGAGAGCTATGTGACCCCACAATCCTCAAGCTCCGGTTTCCCCTGCACGACTATGGGGGCTGGGCAATCTCCTACAGGAAGCCCTCCAGGACTTCCCTGCTCTCCTTCCTGTAGGAGATTGCCCAGCCCCCATAGTCGTGCAGGGAAACCGAGCTTGAGGATTGTGGGTCACATACTCTCCTTCAGCCTCTTCTCTCCTGTCCCCCAGGGGTCCGCCTCCTCATCAGCCCGGCTGCAGAGGTGGTGGAAGGGCAGGCGGTGACTCTGACCTGCAGGAGTCGCCTGGGCCCCACGCCTGACACCCGTTTCTCGTGGTACCGGAATGGGGTCCTGCTCCTCACGGGGCCCAGCAGCAGCCTCCAGCTCCCGGCCGCCTCCAGCGCCGACGCCGGCTCGTACCATTGCCAGGCCCAGGATGGCCACAGTGCCAGCAGCACCTCCTTGGCTGCCATCCTGACAGTGCGCTGTGAGCTGCCTTTCTGCCTGCTGAGGGCTTGGGGTGGGGGGCCACGGAGCCAGACACCCTCCAGAGCCTGGAGGAGGGAGAGAGGGAGGGCCACCACAGGCCTGGGCCCTGGGCTGGGAATTGGGGGATTGGGGCCGGGGCCCAACTTCCAACTCCAACTCCCTTGGCCCTAGCCCAGCCCCTCATGGACGCCCCATCCAGACACACCCTCCCTGGCTGGGGACAGCACCCTCCAACACACATGTGCCGGCCCTGGGCCCCCAAGGGGGAGGCGCAGCCTCTGGGTGTGAGGACAGGTGTCTGCAAGAGGTGCTGCTCTGAGCCCAGAGGTGTCTGTGTGTGTCTGTGTGTCTCTGTCTCCATGTGTGTCTGTGTGTCTCTGAGTATGTCTCTGTGTGTCTCTATCTCTGTGTGTATATTTTTATGTGCATCTGTGTATATATTTGTGTGTATGTGTATATTTGTGTGTCTGTGTGTGTCTGTGTTTGTATATTTATGTATCTGTATATAAAACTGTGTGTCTCTGTGTGTATATTTGTGTGTACCAGTGTGTGTCTGTGTGTCTGTGTATATATTTGGATGTCTCTGTGTGTCCATATTTGTGTGTGTCCCTATGTGTACATATTTGTGTGTATTTCTGTGTGTATATTTGTGTGTGTCTCTCTGTGTGTATTTGTGTGTGTCTGTGTGTATTCATATTCGTGTGTAAATATATATGTGTGTGTATCTGTGTTTCTTTGTGTGTATATTTGTGTGTCTCTCTGTGTGTACAGACACACAGATACATACACACAAACAGACAGACACACACACACACTGTGTTCGGGAACCAGGCCGCTAGCGGAGGCCATGCGTGGAGGCCCACACCCCCTCTCTCCCCAGACGCTCCCCGCCAGCCCACCTTCACTGCCCAGCTGGACCCTGAGGCCGCTGGCCGCCGTGGGCTGCTGTTGTGCCGCGTGGACAGTGACCCTCCTGCCCAGCTGCGGCTGCTCCACGGGCCCCGCGTGGTGGCCTCTTCCCTGGGCTCCTGCAGGGGCTGCCCCTCGCGCTTGAAGGTCACTGGAAGCCCCAACCTGCTCCGCGTGGAGATCGCGGACCCCGTGCTGGAGGATGAGGGCGCGTACCTGTGCGAGGCCACCAATGCCCTGGGCAACGCCTCTGCCTCAGCGACTTTTGACAGCCGGGGTGAGTGGGGCTGGCACCGGGCACTCAGCTCAGGGGGGTTGAACACCGCAGGAACCACCTCCTTCCCCGGACAGCCCTCCCAGACTGCGCCAGGAGCCCGGCCCTGCTGGTGGGAGCGAGCTCTGGGGCCCACTGGACATGGGTGGTCTCGCCCTCTGGGCTCTTCCCTGCCCCTTCTCTGCCACCTGCTTCTGAGTGAGGTCCCTCACTTTCTCCCCGCGCCCTGTGAGTGCTGCAGTGTCCTGGGCCTCCAACGTGGCCCCTTGGTGGTGGTGGCAGGTGGGGGGGAGACGGGGAGGAAACCTGCCTCCAGGGACCCTTCCCGTCTGCTTCCAGCCACGGTCCTGCTCGTCACCCCCAGCCACATGCTGCGGGAGGGCAGCACGGCCACCCTGACCTGCGCTGTGAGCAGAGAGGCCATCGGGGGAGCTGCCAACATTTCCTGGTTCCGGAACGGGCTGCCCTGGGCCCAGAGCCCCCTGCAGACAGTGACCCTGCAGCCTGTGGCCAGGAGGGACGCAGCCCTGTATGCCTGCCGTGTGCTGGCGGAAGAGGGCGGCCAGCTCTCGGCCCCCGTGGTCCTGAGCGTGATGTGTGGGTGACGGACGGGCACAGATTGGGCAAGCAGGGGTGGGGGGGTAGGGTGGGGTCTAGGGAGTAGGGCTGGTGGGTCTGGGTGGGTGGGCCTGGACGGCGAAAATGCACAGGGCTCCAGCGCCCCATGTCCCCGCAGACCCTCCTGACCCACCCAAGCTGTCAGCACTCCTGGATGTGGACCAGGGACACACGGCCGTGTTCGTCTGCACCGTGGACAGCCAGCCGCCTGCCCAGCTCACCCTGTTCCACGGGGAGCGCCGCCTGGCCACCAGCCTGCAGCCCCAGCTCCCACCCAGTGGCCGCCTGCAGCTCCGAGCCACAGCCAACTCCCTGCAGCTCGAGGTCCGAGAGCTGCGCCTGGAGGACTCCGGCAGCTACCACTGCGAGGCCACAAATGACCTGGGATCAGCCAATACCTCCCTCTTCTTCCAGGTCCGAGGTAAGTGTTGGTGCCCGGAAGATGTGCTAGATCCTGAGGCCCCTGTAGCTACCCTGGCCAGGTTTTGACTGAGCAGCACAGGTTCAGTGCAAAAGTGCGTGGTCTTTAGCCCCTGCGAGGAGAGTTTTCAGCCCCTCCGGACACAGCCCTTTGTCTCCCACTTGATACGTTCACCTGCAATAGCTGTTCCAGCCACTAGGCGGCAGTGTCATTGCTCAGGGTGGCTTGCAATAGGGCGCTTTGTTTTTGCGGTAGATTTTGGATACTAATCCTTTGTCCAACGAGGAGTGGGCAAGTATTTTTCTCCCAATCAGTGGGGCGTCGTTTTATTTTGGTCATTATTTCTTTTGCAGTGCTTTCTGACAGATAAATTCGTTAGTAATAATATAATTGTGTTACTTAAAAAACAATTCTTGGGTCAGCCTTTCTGACTTTATTCATCTTACTATTGCTCCAACCCCGAGAATTCTTTATTTGTTTGATTTGTTCTGGTGTGACATTGGCAATATTTAGGGGTTACTTCTGGCTCTACACTCAGAAATCACTCCTGGCGGTGCCCTAAGAACCCATAATATGGGGTGCTGGGGACCGAACCCAGGTCGGCCACATGCAAGGCAAGAGCCCTACCCACTATCTCACAGGACCCCAAGAATTGTTTTTTAAGTAACACAATAATTTTTTCATTTTAAAAATATTATGTTGCGGGCTGGAGAGATAGCACAGTGGGTAGGGCGTTTGCCTTGCACGCGGCCGACCCAGGTTCGATTCCCAGCATCCCATATGGTCCCCTGAGCACCGCCAGGAGTAACTCCTGAATGCAGAGCCAGGAGGAACCCTTGAGAATCACTGGGTGTGACCCAAAAAGCAAATAATAATAAGAAATAAATATATTATGTTTAGAAATATCTTCCCAAATTATGGAGGATTTTTATCAGATGTAGACAAAGAGACACATTCATATATGTGTGTGAAGAATCTAAGTTATTAAAGAGTATAAATATACTATGTGTATTTTTGTGTCTATATGTGCATGTCCATGTGTTGGATATGCACATATGGCAGATATATAAACTAGGTTTTATGAGAGAGTTCCTTTTCTTGTTTGTTTTTGAGCAACAGGGCTTACTCCTGGCTCTGCCTGTTCCCCGGGATCACTCTGTTGGGGTTCAGGGAATCCTATGTGGTTCTGGGGATCAAACTTGGGTCAGTTAAAATGTCCTTATATTTTTCACATATAAAGTAATAAAATATTTAATCCATAATGCTAAATTCTGTCTGCCTTTGGCTCTCTGTCCATCTCTCTCTCTCTCTCTCTCTCTCTCTCTCTTTCTCTCTCTCTCTGTGTGTGTGTGTGTTTGTGTCTCTCTCTCTCTATGTATCTTTATGTATGCTTTGGGAATAAAGGAGAACTCAGGAGGGCATCAAGAATAAACTCTTCAGCCCGTTCCAACCCTCACGGGTCCATGGCCCCCCTGGACATGCAGCAATATTCCTATCTTGTGCATTTTTCCAGAAGTCTCCCTCACCTCTCTATTCCCTCTTCGTATTTTCTTTCTTTCTTTCTTTCTTTCTTCTTTCTTTCTTTTGCTTTTTTTGCCTTAGGGCTGGATCGATAGCACAGCAGGTAAGGTGTTTGCCTTGCACTAGGCCGACATGGCCAACCCGGGTTCGATCCCTCCGCCCTTCTCAGAGAGCCCGGAAAGCTACCCAGAATATCTTGCCCGCATGGCAAAGCCTGGCAAGCTACCCATGATGTATTCAATGCCAAAAACAGTAACAAGTCTCACAATTTGTTGTGAGACCTTACTGGTGCCCGCTCTAGCAAATCGATGAACAACAGGACAGTGCAGTGCAGTGCAGTGCTTTTGTATCACACCCAGCGATGCTCACGGGTTACTCCTGGCTTTGCACTCAGGAATTACTCTTGGTGGTGCTCAGGGGACCATATGGGATGCTGGGAATCGAACCCAGGTCTATTCATATTTTCAATCCTCTGATCTCATCCTGTTACTGGACCATAAATCCCCACCTTTCTTTTATTTGAAGTTGAGTCTTATGTCTTTTGCCCACAGCAGTAATCCTTCTTACAGAAACTCTTCTGTAGAAGAGTTTAAGATGATAAGAAGTGACTGGAGTGACAGAGGCTGGAGTGACAGTATAGATGGTAGGGTGTTTTGCATGCAGCTAACCCAGGTTCAATCCCCAGCATCCCATATGGTCCCCCAGCCCAGGCAGGAGAAATTCCTGAGTGCAGAGCCAGGAATTACCCCTGAGCATCGCTGGATGTAATCCCCAAACAAAACAAAACAAAATTCCTCCGAAAGCAAAGAACCAGGAGAAAGAAAATCAACACCCAGAGCTCTGCTTTGGTCAAAGAAAAATAGATGCCTTCCATCTCCCACACTGATAAACAACATCTGCTCTGAATATTTTCCTCGGATTTGGGCTCCATTATTTTTATTTCGACAGAGACCCGTCCTGGCGATGCTTACTGGGGTGTGGGGACCCCAGGACCAGCCCTGACCTTGCTCAGTGGGGTCCTGTGGTCCTGGTCACAGGGGAGGCACATGCGCAGCAATTTGAGCCACCTCCCCGCTGCACCCACATCTTTCCTTATTTGTCACACCCATTTCCCAGGCACGGGAGCCGAGGGTTGGGCTGTTAGGGGCTTGCACAGAGCACATGGTTCACAGGACGCATGGCTGCTTCCAGACTGATGGTCTGGACAGATAATGCTTCTGGTTCCAGACGCAGCCTTTGCTTCCTCCACCCCGCCTTACCCCACCTTGTCTCCTGCCTTGGAACTGGGAAGGGGGTGGGGGTTCGGATACCAGGAACCGCCCTATGCCTGATTCCTGGCTTCTGGGTTCTCGTGGCCTGGAGCCTGGGAGCAGACGGGGCTGGGGAGGATTCAGCATCAGGAAGCAGCTCACTTCCCCTCCCAAGCCCCCGCTCAATCAGGCTGAGTCCAGCTCCTGGCCAGGACAGTGGCCCTCGGTGTGCCCTAGGTCCCGCCTCTTCCGGAGTCATGCAACCAGTGCTAGTCTGTGCCTGGTGCTGGCTGCAGGTCACATGAGCCGGGGATGTGACTGACACAGCAGAACTGCGGCCCAAGAGAGAGTGGGTCGAGGAGAGACCCCAGGGTGGGTCGGGAGAGGCGTGCAGGGCAGGGAGGGCTCTCAGGCCTCTCACCGGCTCTCGCTTTGTTCCTGCAGGGGCCTGGATCCAAGTGTCCCCGTCCCCGGAGCTCCAGGAAGGCCAGGCTGTGACCCTGAGCTGCCAGGTGCCCACAGGAACCCCCCAGGGAGCCTCCTACCACTGGTACTGGGATGGCCGCCTCCTCCCGGGTTCCACCTCGGCTACGCTCCGCTTTGCTGCCATTACTGCGAGCCAGGCCGGGGCCTACCACTGCCAGGTGCAGGCCCCGGGCTCGGCCAGCACCAGCCTGGCCACGCCGGTCAGCCTCCATGTGACCTGTAAGCCTGTTCATCCCCATGAGGCTCAGGCTGGGGAATGGGGGTGCTGAGTCCCTGGAGTCTGGCGTGCTCCGGGGAGTGGGCTCAGGGGAGGCATCATCTTCCCGGGTCTGATGCATCCCTGCCCCTCAGATGCCCCGCGCCAGCCGGTGCTCACCACCCTGATGGACACAGGACCCGGGCGCCTGGGTCTCCTTCTGTGCCAGGCCCACAGTGACCCTCCGGCCCAGCTGCGCCTGCTCCATGGGGGCCACCTGGTGGCGTCCACCCTGCAGGGGCCGGAGGAACCTGCCAGCCGCTCCCCCCGGCTGCAGGTGACCGTGGCCCCCAACGCACTGCGCCTGGAGATCCACAACGCCACCCTGGAGGACGAGGGTGCCTACAGCTGCCAGGCCACCAACGCCCTGGGCCAGGCCTCGGCCTCAGCCAGCTTTGACACGCAGGGTCAGTGCGAGGTGGAGTGCGTGAGTGCAGGGATGGAGTCAGGCACCTGCTTTGCATGCGTGAGTGGGCCGGGTTCCTGGCACAGCAGAAACGAAAGCAGGAGAGACCAGCCAGGGGGCTAAATCACTGGCCTGGCAGACAGCTGACCTCAGCTCAATCCCAGGCGCCACAGAGGGTCCTCCGAGCCTTGTCAGGAGTGATCCCTGAGCACAGAACCAGGAGTAAGTCCTGACCACTGCCAGCTTAACCTCCCCAGAGTAAAAACAAAAAACAAAACAAGGGACGGAGCAATAGTACAGCAGGTAGGGCATTTGCCTTGCACGCACCCAAATTGGGTTTGATCCCCAGCATCTCATAGGGTCCCCTGAGCACCGCCAAGAGTAATTCCTGAGTGCAGAGCCAGGAGTAACCCCTGAATATTGCTGGGTGTGGTCCAAAAAAAGCAACAAAACAAAACAAAAATAAAAACAAAAAAATAAAGCCCCCCCCCTCTACCTTTTTACATGGCTGCGCAATGAACCGTGCAAGCAGAAAGGGGGGGGGCTCTGGATGGTACAGTGGACAGGGGCCTTGCCTTGCACTGGCTGACCCGGGTTCAATCCCCCACATCCCGTATGTCTCCTGAACACTTCCAGGAGTAATTCCTGAGGTCAGAGCCAGGAGTAGCCCCTGAGCATCATCTGATGTGGCCCCCACCCCCCAAGACGAGGTGCTCCAAGAGAAGGCCAAAGCGGGGGGCAGCCTGGATTCTCCCCGGCACCTGCCCCAGGCGCAGAGCAGGCTCAGACCCCACTAGGGCTCCGGAGGCGCCTGAGAAAGGGATCACTATTTCCCAAGCTGCACCCTTGAGCCCCCAGCGGCCAAAGGCCCCTCGCGTGGTGACCAGGGCTGGACGTCAGCACACTCACCAATGTCCCCTGCCTCTCCTGTTCACAGCCGTGAGTGTGCAGGTGTGGCCCAGGCTGGCCGTGCAGGAGGGGCAGCTGGTGAAGCTAACCTGCCAGGTGTGGACCTCCCGGGCGGCCCGGCTCACCTACACCTGGTATCAGGATGGGCAGCAGCGGCCGGGTGCCCGCTCCATCGTCCTGCCGAACGTCACCGTGGCCAACGCAGCCTCCTACCACTGCAGCGTGGCCACCCCCGGCCAGGCCCCCCGCACCTCCACGCCTGTGGCCCTGGACGTCATCCGTGAGTCTGCTGGGGTTCAGCGGGAGTCGGGGGAGACCCGAGAAGCACCCCACTCCACAGCAGGCATGGAGCCTTGGGGGTGGGGGTGGCCAGGACAGGCCAGAGCGGGGAACAGGCCAGGGCCTTGGTCTAGCTCAAGCCCCTGCGCTGGGGAGGGGCGTTCCCCTGTGAACCAGCCAAGCCCCACACGCACACCTCCCTGCCCCGCAGATGCCCCCCGGAACCTCCGCCTGACTTCCATGCTAGAGAGCAGCGGCGGGCGGCAGGCCCTGGTCCAGTGCTTGGTGGACAGCCGCCCACCCGCGCAGCTGACCCTCAGCCACGCTGGCCGCGTCCTGGCCGCCTCCACCGCCACCTCCAGCCCCAACTCCCTGCGCCTTGAGCTGCGGGAGCTGGGCCCGGGCCAGGAGGGCCTGTACAACTGCTCGGCCCACAACCCCCTCGGGCAGGCCTCTGCGTCCCTGGAGCTGCACCTCGAGGGTGAGGCGGGGAGTCCCCGCAGGCCTGGATGGGGAGGTCAGCCGAGCTGTCCAGCGGGGCTCGGCTGATCCCAGCCTCTTTGGAACAGTCACGCAGGTGACACTGACCCCCTCGGCCACCGTGCCTGAGGGGACTCCTGTCACGGTGACCTGTGAGGACCCAGCCGCCCAGCTGCCCACCCTCTACACCTGGTACCACAATGGCCGGTGGCTGCAGGAGGGGCCCGGGGCCGCCCTCTCCCTCCCCAGGGTCTCCCGGGCTCACGCAGGGGCCTACAGGTGCCAGGCTCAGGACGCCCAGGGCAGCCGCAGCTCCCGGCCCACGGCCCTGCGTGTGCTCTGTGAGTGGACGGGGTCCTGGGGGGGGTGGGGAGGGCAGCAGGGAGGACACAGGACATCAGCGGGGCCCGACAGGGTCTGGGGAAGGAGGACCGTGGGTGACAGACCTGGAAGCTGCCCACACCCGCCCGGAAGTGTCACTTGTAAGAAGAGCCTGGACATTTGTGCAGAGGCTTTGGCCAGGTGGGAGGGTCCCCAGCAAGGCCCCCAGCCCTGTTCTCTCTCCCCCAGATGCTCCTCGGGACGCTGTCCTGTCCTCCTTCTGGGACTCGAGGACCAGCCCTGCGGCCGTGGTGCAGTGCACAGTGGACAGCGAGCCCCCTGCCGAGCTGACCCTGGCCCACCACGGCAAGGTGCTGGCCACCAGCGCCGGTGGGGCTGTGGGGACAGGTCGTGTCCAGGTGGGCCGCAATGCCCTGTGGCTGCAGGTGCAAGACATGCCCCTGGGGGACGGGGACGCATATGTGTGCACAGCCCGCAACCTGCTGGGCTCCGTCAGCACCAGGCAGCTGCAGGCAGAGGGTGAGTGCATGGGCCAGCCGGGAGGTGGGGGACACCCACATGGGGGCCACAGCCTGGGGGAATGTGCTGGGGGTGGGGGAGGCAGTCTCATCTGTGAGGGACCCCCAACTGGGCAAGATGTCCTCAAGGAAATCAGGTAAATAAAAGCCAGCCCCTCGAACACACACACGCATACACATATGCACATCACACACGAGTGTGAACACACATACACACATGCACATACACATACAGGCATGTCCACATCACACACAAGTATGAACACACATACACACATGCACATGCACATACAGACACGCATGCACATACACAGACAAATATGAACATGAACACAAGCACACATGTACATACTCATACACGTGTTCACATAATACACACTCATGCACATGCACGTGCCCACGTGCAATTCATACACACATAAACATACTCATACATATGCATATACCCACGCAGACACATGTACATATATAAGCGTGCGTACACACATGTGTACACACATGCACACAGATATATGCATACACATATACATACACGCATGCACATGCTCATGTATATGCATATGCACGTGTATACGCTTAGACATGCACATTGATATATATATACCCAGATACAATGCTCACATGTACGCATGCATGTGCATACTCGTGCATCACGCATGCACACAAATACACACACAGAGTCCAGCCTGGCGAAAGACTGCCCTCTGCCCAGGAAGGGGTGGATATGCCCTGACTCCAGAAGCCCAGCTGAGGGAGGAGGTGCAGCTCCTGCCTGGGGACCCAAGCTGGGGTTCAAACTCAGTGTCACCCATCGGTTGAAGAGGGAGACACAGGCCTGGACACCCCTGTGCAAGGACCAGAGCCAGCTCTGTCCCCTGGGGCATCCTTCTGGGGGGCAGCCGTGCCCCACTGAGGGCCCAGATGTCAGTGGGAGCAGACCACCCCCAATGCACAGGCTTCTTGGGCCAGCAGCTCAACCCGATGGCTCACACATGTCCTGTGGCCCCCAGGTGTGCACGTGGTGGCTGAGCCGGGGCTGGAGGTGTCCGAGGGGGCAGCACTGAACCTGAGCTGTCAGCTGCCTGGCGGACAGGCCCCGGGGGGCAACTCCACCTTCTCCTGGTTCTGGAATGGCCGGCAGCTACAGGCGGAGCCCCAGCCCACACTCGCCTTCTCCCACGTGGCCCGTGGCCAAGCTGGGGCGTACCAGTGCCGGGTTGGGCTTCCCACGGGGACAGCCACCTCAGCCGCAGCCCTGCTCCGAGTGCTCTGTGAGTGTGTCCTGGTGCCTCTGGGGGTGGGTTCCTCCCCTGGATATGTCAGCCGCTCCCCTGGGAGGGGAGGAGAGGGGTGAGGGTGAGGGCTGCCACCACAATCTCAGACTTAATGCTTCCAGCCAGCACCTTTTATTGTTTGTGGTTCTGAGGCCACTTTTGGGCTGGGCTCTGCCGAGCAGTTCTTTTTGTTGTTGTTGTTGTTCTGGGGCCATACCCGGCGATGCTCAGAGCCCGCTCCTGTCTCTGCACTCAGGAATCACTCCTGGCCCAGGGGACCATCGGGGATGTCAGGGATTGAACCTGGGTGGGCCACGTGCAAGGTGTTCCCTGCTGTGCTGTTGTGCCAACTCTGCCGGGCTTGCTGCTCTCAGCCCACGCGGTCATGGGAGTCTGGCATCTGGGCCGAGGGCACATGGCCTCGGAAGGCTCTGGGTTGGCCCTGGTTCTAGCAGGCTGGCCTGGGATTCCCACAAGCCCAGGAGAACAGACAGCTGAGGACATGCAATGTTTTTTTTTTTTTTCTTCTGCCTTCTGGGACTGCGAAGCAAGTCCCAGAACCAAGGAGCAGAGGAACGGACTCTTCTTCCTCATGGGCGAGCAGTAAACCCTCACTCCTGGGCCTGGGAGGGGAGGAATCAGGCTGTTTCCCGGCTCACCACTGCCCCCTCGGTGACCTCCCACAGACCCTCCAGACAGGCCCACCATGACGGTCTTTGTGGAGGCTGAGGGTGGCGTCCAGGGCATCCTGGACTGCCGGGTGGACAGCGAACCCCTGGCCAGCCTCACCCTCCACCTGGACGGACAGCTGGTAGCCTCCAGCCAGCCCGGGGGCAGCCCTGTCCAGCCTCACATCCGCGTCTCGGCCTCCCCCAACACCCTGAGGGTGGCCATGGAAGAGCTGCGGGCAGGCGACCAGGGCGAGTACGTGTGCACGGCCTCCAATGCGCTGGGCTCCACATCGGCCTCCGCCTACTTTGGATCCAGAGGTGAGGGGAGGCCCCGTCTGGCTTCCCGTGTCCTCTGGGCAGGGCCTGATGCCCTTGTGAGGCCTTCCTGAACCCCATCTGCCGCAGCCAGCTGGTGTCGGGAGCAGGGCAGGGTGGGGAGGTCCCGATGGCGGGGACCCCCACCCCGCCCCCACCCCACCCCCACACCTGGCGTCTCTTCCAGCCCTGCACCGTCTGCACCTGTTCCAGTGGCTGCTCTGGGTCCTGGGGCTGCTGGCGGCTGTGCTGCTGCTCCTGCTGGTCCTGGGGGCCTCCTGCCTGTTAAGGTGGGTCTGGAGGGGCGACAGGGCTGCCTCTCCCTCCCAGCAACTCTCAGCATTCCCTGGAGGTGCCCCCGTCAGTGTCTCTGACTTCATACTTCCTTACCCAGTTGGGTCCTTCTAGAACGGTCTCTGATGGGGGTCTTTCGCTTCCTCTCTCTGTCCCGTCTGTGCTGAAGGGCTGGTGGGAAGTAAGAACAACCGAGACCCCCAGGCAGCCCCCCACTGCCTCTGCTGGGTGTTGTCTGGAGTCCCGTGTGTGTGTGTGTGTGTGTGTGTGTGTGTGTGTGTTGGGGGATGTGTTTAGGCCACACCCAGTTGTGCTCAGGGCTTCCTCCTGGCTCTGTGCCCAGGAGTGACCCCTGGCAGTGCTCAAGGGACCATATGCAGTGTTGGGGATTTGAACCGGCATGAGCCACGTGCCTGTGTCACGTCCCCTCAGATGGCACTCTTGCTCTTGCAGGAGGAGGCTTTCCCGCCAGATCAACGTGGGTGAGAACTCAGTGGAGATGTCTCCCAAGGAGACCTTGCAGGTGGGCAGGCGACATGCAGATGTGACTCCCGGCTGCCCCTGCAGACCACACTCATTTATGGGAGGGTGTCTGGGGTGGGGGAGCCTGAAGAGAGAAGACTGAGGGAACAGATAGGGAAGCCCTATTCTGGTGGGGACAGACAGCACCGGTGTATCTAAGGTGACAGGGACAGACGGAACCGGACAGTGTCGTGTCCCTTTCCAAGGCACTTCCCTCCCCACTCCTGAGTCATCCCCCATGCAGTTGTGGAAATCCATTCCCGCTCCCCCATGCAGAGGATGCATTGGAGGGCCAGCCCCTGGGAACCCCCACCCAAGGCTGCCCTTTGGGGCGAGGGGTCAGGTGACCACCGTTCCCAGAGTTCTCCTGTGACCAGAGTTTTCTCTGTGGAAGCTCTTGGATCCTGCGGCTACCACACCTCTGACCTTGTCCAGTTCTTCGTTGCTGAGCTGACTCCAGCGCTGCCCTCAGGAGGAAGAAGGAGCTGGAGTCTCAGGACTTCTGTGAACAAGGCTGGGTGGGTCCTGTTGGCCTCTGTGGAAACAATGGGGTGACGGTTGGGTTTCTGTGCCCTGACCCTCTTACCTGAAGAAACATGAGCAGCGGATGGAGGAGGCGAACAAGGATCCCCCAAGAGCGGAGCCTCCAGGGGACGCTGGAGAGAAACCAGTTGCTTGTGTTCGCCACGTCCCTTTCTCTCTTCTCTCTGCATCTCACTCCTTTGTTTCTCTCCCACTGCACGGTATCGTCATATCGTTCTCCTCTGAGCCCGCCCTGCATGACGTGGACGGATGAGGAGTTTCTCTCTTCATCCTCATAGCTGTTTGAGGTTCTGTTTCCGACAGACTGGATTAAGCTGCTCTCACAAGAGACCAAATACAGTGACTTCAAGATGAGAGGATTTGTTTTTTCCCACCTACGAGCCTAACTATGTCACAGGGTTGAAGGTGTTGGGTAGACCTGAGAGCTTTATCTTGTATCCTCCACTTCTAAAAGACTGCTTGGATGGTGAGGCTCGGAAAGGCCTCCCTATGTCCAGGGCTGGAGTGAGAATATAGTTGGAAGGACTCTTGCCCTGCACGCAGCCAACCCAGGTTGGATCCAGGCACCCTGTTTGGTTTCCTGGGCTCCACCAAGAGTGATTTCTGAGTGCAGAACCAGGAGTAAGCCATGAGCACAGCTGGGTGGGGTCCAAAAACCAAAAACACAGCAAACCTCAAAGACCTTTGTGTTCACATACCTTCAGCAAGAAGAGAGGAGAGTGGGAGCCATTCCCCAGCCATTATCCCAGCCATTCCCCCTGGGATACAGTGGCACACACTGTGTCTGCTTACTCCCCATTGGCCAGGTGGTTTTGAAAAATTTATATTTTGTTTGGGGGCCACACCTGGCACAGTGCTCACTGCTTACTCCTGGCTCTATGCTCAGGGATCACTCTTGGTGGGCTCAGGGGAGGGGGGACCATATGGTGTGCCGGGATTCAAACCCAGATTCACTGCACGAAAGGCAAACATCCTACTTGCTGTATTATCACTCCAGCTCCACTATTGGCTAGAATTTAGTCACATGACCATGCCAAGCTGCAAGGAATGCTGGGAAATGTGTGTGGGTGTGTTTGTTTTTGTTTTGTGACACTCTCACACACTTTAAGGACAGAGGAATTTGATCTCATAACCTTGTTTGGAAGGCAGGCGGCCTTCCCTGTGCGGTTTCTCCCAAAGGACTTTCTTTTTCAAATCGCCTCCTCTCCCCTCTTAGGACATAAACATATGTAGAGAGAGGGTGGGGGCCAGTATTAAGTAATGTTTGGGGATTCAGAGTCACTTCCCGCAATGCTACAATGCTCAGCCTGGTCCTCAGAACAACCAGGTCTAACCTAGCTGTGCTGGGGGCCCTGAGGGCCACTCACGTTAGTTCCTTTCAGGTATGTACTCCACCACGTGTAGGAAAATGTAGTTTTTCTCCTATTTCCAAAACCTACCCTCGGCTCTTGTCCTTGAAGAAAATGCTATCAGCAGGCCACCTTCTGTCATGGTGCCTATCTGCACAGGGTCAGACTTTCACTTAGGTCCAGAGCTTCCTGGAGGAGGGTCTCTTGTCACTAAGGACCCTGGGGAAATCAAAAAGGTTTGGGGCCCCTAGAGAATGCTGTCTTGTGCCAGATCTGAGCCCTGGAAGAAGAGACATAGCTGCCGTCACCCCAGAGCAGCTCTGCTCCTGCCCCATGTGATCCCCTCTCCATGGTGGCGTGAGCTCAGTTCTTTTTCCTGGGGTCTGTTAAAGAGAAGCAGGGGTACCAAGAAGGAGGCAAGTGTTCCCCGGACGTCAGGACCTGATGGGCCCAGGCAGTGACCTCTCTGGGGGCTCCCCTGGTGGCAGGTGGAGGGACAAACAGAGTGCCCTGTTCTGGGGCGGGGAGTGGGGAGGGGAGGGGGGGAGGCACGCAGGAGAGACCAGAGCAGGAAGGAATTGGAGGGGAGCCCCTGTAGCCCACCCAGGGTGTTCCCCGCTCCCAGATCACGTGCTTTTCAGGGCTGATGGCCCACCTTCCCCAGGAGCCTGTCTGCCTGGACTCCCAATGAACTCCCACACTCTCAACTAACCAGCAGGACGCTCTTTCTTGACCTCCCACCCGCTGAACTGGGGCGCGGAGAATTCATATAGAAGTGGGGGTTAATTCAGGGAGCTGTTCTGCAGTGCCACTTACTACACTCTATTGCATTCAAGATGTTTTTTGAGCCACATTCAGCAACGCTCAGGGCTTACTCCTGGCTTGGCACTCAGGAATCATACCTGGTGGTGCTCTGGGACCCATATGGGATGCCGGAGATCGAATCTGGGTAGGCTGCCTGTAAGACAAGCCCCCTACCAGCTGTACTATCTCTCTGGCCCCTATGTTTTTTATTTAATGGAGAGAAAAGTGGCAATTGTTTACAGAATTCTAAGATTAAAATGGATTAGATAACAAAGTTGCAATAGTAAAATCAATAGATCTAGAAAATAAATTCGTGTGAACATCAGATTGCAGGGTTGGTAAATTATTGTCTAAGAATTTATTAAACTTTTGGTTGCTTCAGGAGGTGTGATAGGGACGGGCTCTAGACCCTTACTTCCCAATCAGGGCCACAGTTGGCAAGACAGCAGCTGTGGGAGGTGGATGAGCCTGCTGGGGCCTCCAGAGGGTATGGGGGAGAGACGACACACCCCAACTTCACTGTCACTGTCACTGTCCTCCCGTTGTTCATCAATTTGCTCGAGCGGGCCCAGTAACATCTCCATTGTGACACTGTGTTTGGTGTATCGAATACGTCATGGGGAACTTGCCAGGCTTTGCCATGCAGGCGAGATACTCTCAGTAGCTTGCTGGGCTCTCCGAGAGGAATCGAACTTGGGTCAGCCATGTCGGCCGCATGCAAGACAAACGCCCTACCCGCTGTGCTATCGCTCCAGCCCAACTTAAAAAAGAAAAAAAGACACCATAGTTTTCAGCCTGGGCACCGGATACCTGAAATTATCTAGAGACCGTTGTCCCTGCAGAGAATATTCATGAGGTGGTAGAGTTGAGCCCTTGGTGTAGCTGTAGAAGTGGGGAGCAGGTGCTACTCCCAGAACGTTGGTTCCCAATATTTTTTATTTCCAGTTCACAGGGTTCTTCTCTGTGGTGCTCAGGCCCTGGGAGCACCTCATGGTCCCTGAGCACAGCCGAGAGGGACCCATTCTTGGAGATGCCCAGACTAGGGTGCAGGAGTTCAGGTTCAGGCAATGCGGTACCTCTCTGGTGTGTAAGGGCCACAAAGACCATACCCAGTGATTCTCGGGGGGCCATGTGGTGTTAGGTAGCAAACTTGGGGGTTTGCTCATGCATAACATGTGCCCCAAACCCTTGGGCTATCCCCTGCATTTGGGATTTGTGTCCTTCTGCCTCCTGGAGGCTTTTGTGTGCTCTTCCCTGGCCCACAATGGCCAGCACTGTACTGGGACGCAGGAAGTAACCGCCTGCGTGAGTCAAATCCAGAGATGAGGTAAGGCAGGAGCCAGTCAGTGCAGCCAGGTGTTCGGAGCTGTCTGCAGAAAAGAGGGTGATGCATGGGCATGGGTGGCAGGAGAAGGGGTGGTGGGGAGGCGGAGGTGGTGGCAAACCTCTGACGTGGAGTCCTCATCTGCTCTGTCTACTTCCCAGGGGGCTTACGACCCCCTGGAACTGGAGGGCTTTCAGGTGGCTTAGTTGTGCCCAAACCCAGTGTCTGAGGTTATCGAAGACTTTTCAGAACTGGGCCAGGGAGAAGGCCCTAAGAGTCAGTGTGCAGACTGCATGTGGGGGGCCTGGTTTGATTCCCCTGCACGGTCCCCGAGAGGGACCCCCGAGCTGCCTGGCTCTCCTTGAGCCTGTCTCCTCTGCCGGTTGGGCTCCCAGTTGAGCACAGGAGCTCAATGCTTTCTGCTCAATGCCACTGTCCCCTCTAAGCCCTCTTCAAAGGAGAGAAGAGATAGTCAAAAGGAGAGCTAGGCATTGAGGGGCAACAGAGTTCCCCCGGCACCCTGGCACATCCTTAGGGGATCAGGGACTTGTGCCCAGGTGACTCTATTTAAACACCATGATTGATGGGGCCAGAGATCACACAGGGGTGATGGCATTTGCCTTGCATCTTGTCCATGCTGGTTTGATCCCAGCACCAGATATGGTCCCCGGAGCACTTCTAGGACTGGCCCTGGATCTCAGAGGCAGGAATAAGCACTGAGCACTGTCAGAAGTGGCCCAATCCCACTTTCCCTCCAAAATAAACACCTTGCTTGAGCTACAGAGAGGAAAGATACTTACCTTGCATGTTGGCTAGCCTGTGTTTGTTCCATCACCAGCAACAAATGCTCCCCTGAGCACTGAGCCAGGAAGAGCCTCTGAGCACTGCCAGTGTGGTCCGAACCCCAACAAACTACAATGTGAATATTTGTTACACTGGAGCTCTCAACAAGTCACCATTGTCTGGTCCCCAAGAAGGGACTTCAGTGCAAGGGACTTACGAAGATCTGCTTTCAGAGGAGTTTAGGGAAGGGCAACGTGGAGTCTGACAAGCACAGGGAGGAAGCCAAGGACACTTACATATCCAAAGTAGCTTTTTTATTTTTGGTAGTATCTCAAAATAGGTTTCTCTCAAATGTCCAGGAATAGTTATATCGATATTTTTCAGAGGGGGTTTGGGCCTGGTGGTGCTCTTGGGGGCATATGGGGTACCAGAGATCAAACTGGGCTCGACCACATGCAGATAAGTGCTTTATTCCCTGTACTGTTTATCCACCCTTGATTAAAAAAAAATAAGTGGTTATAGGCAGGGGAGATAGATCAAAGGAATGGAGTGCATACTTTGCATATGGGGGTTCCAGCTTTAATCCCTGGCACAAGTGGTCTCTGGAATGTGGTGTCAGCAGTCACCCTCAAGCACTGTTGGGTGTGACCCCAAAACAAAACAAACATAAAAGTGATTTTATTCACACATATGCTATCCAGCAATGAATATAAATAAGCCAAAATCGCATACAACAGGCTGGATGGAGTTTACATTGAAACTGGGAAAGAATTTGCAATTCATAGTTCCAACAAAAGGCTATCTTCTTGTTTATAAAAAAAAAAACTCCTTCGAGTTGCAAAAAGAAAGACCAACAATTCAATAGAAAAATAGACTGCGGATATGAATAGGCGGTTCAGGGAAAAGGAAATATAAATGATTCTTCAGTGTTTGAACAAATGTTCAACCTCACCCAAAGAGTAATGCAGATGGACATGACACTTTCACTTTCAACCAGCAAATCTCCCAGTTTGGAAGTGGTGCTGATCACACTGGAGCAAGCAGGCACTCTTGATCTTGCTCGTGGGAGTATAAATTGGCACAA